TTTTGGAATTCTCACAGTTTCAGAATTGTTCAAATTCTTTCTTCTTTTTTGAAATCATAAGTCAAATGCGATATGCACTTTTGATCTTTCTCACTAGAGTGTACTTGAGATGATAAAGTATATTTCTAAATAAAGTACCTTTGGGCATAAATAGCTCATAATAAACTTTTTTCATCACAATAAACATAAGATTAAACTTTTGTCAAACAACCATAAATAGTTTCTTAAAGATTATAGTATTAACAAAATTCTAAATTTGATATCATTATTTTTTGTATTCCTACTTATTCTTCACAAACGTCCATTTTTATATTTATTTATTTTTTCGGGTCCCTCAGATATTTGAAATTGATTTCAAGCCTAAGTATGTTGAAAAATCCTCCTAGTTAAAATCTGGTAGAAATACAAGAATATTCTATTTACTTTTAACTTTTTAGTGATTTACCAGTTATGCATCTATCGCACAAACCCAAACTCATTAACCACTTTAGCTTATTCCCGCTAAACTCCTCAAATATGTTTAATAAAACCATAATCTAAACCCATTTTCTACTTCATCTTCTCCAGCTCCTTTCCAAACAGCTCTCTTTATCGCTAACCCAAATTTGTATTGGATAAATTCTCGTTAGGGAAGATGTTAGAGAAAAAAATCAGAGAAAATAAAGTGAAAAAAGAGTTTGGGTTAGGATTTTATTAGACAGATTCAGAGAGTTTAGCAGGTATAAGTTAAAGTGATTAATGAGTTTGAGTTTACGTAAGAGACGTGTTACTGGCAAATCACTGGAAAAGTTAAACTAAATAGAATATCTCCTGTATGTAACTAGATTTTAACTAAGAATGACTGCAACATAGAAAGTAGATTGCAGAAAATAAGAACTGAAAAGAAGAAGAAGAGGAAGAATTGAGGAAGATGAAGAATAGAGATGGTAGAAGCGTGTGAAATGGAGGAATGGGTGATTGAGATCTTTACAAGTGTGCCTCGTCGTAGGAAAGAGCCCTTGATTTTTGGTTATCTGAAATTATTTCTTTATTTTTCTATGATGCCGGCCAAAATCTCTGCGCAGCCCTGGTTTAGCTATTACACGGTGACCGATGGGTCAAGAACCGTTCTGAAATGACAAACTGGGCGACGAGACGGTCGTCCCTTTCTCCGCATATAAGGGGCTTGGGACATTCTACACATCACCGTGTACTTTTAAACCAAACCATATCTCAAGCTTTCCCGCCCCCCAAATCCATCCGAACCAAGAAACTGAAATCCCTACCAAACCCTAACCCTAACCCTAGATCCTTCTCCCCTAATCACCCAGTCCTTCTCATCGGCACCGTTGACCTTCAGACCCCTGAAGATTGCGACGGAACTTCATGCGGGGGCCACTGCTTCTCTTTCTCCGATGCCTCCTCTAGGGTTTGTTGCTCCATTGTTGATCCTAGAGACCTCAGCTTCGTTGGCCGGAAAATCCACGTCCTCGCTTGGAATTTTCTCCCTTTCAAGCATAAAAAAGGAGTCTTGGAGATCGCCAGGTGGATGTTGCCGGCGTCGGTGCGGATGAGTGCAGATCCAAATCCCGAGCCCTCTTTCTCAGCCCCGATGAGGCCTCACAGTTTTACTTCTGTCGGCGCTCTGAAGTCGATCAGTCCGATATTTAGCGTTCCGTGTAAGAATCGAGTGTTTGATGGAAAGTCGACTGGGTTTCTCGCTGAGATACTTACTTGTGGCTGTGATCGATGCTGTAACTTTGATAACTTTGATATCAAGAACCCTGCTTTAGACCCGAGCGAACATTCCTTTGTTAGCCCAAACTTTGTTTATTTTCTCAAACCCGCGTGTAAGTGGAGGCCAGTGATGAACTTGCTAGTGGGAAAGTTGATCGTGATTTCGGGGCTGAGGAAAAAGAAGATCGTTGTTCGGAAAGATGTGACGCATGAAATGTTCCTGAGTACAGAATGGACTGTGGTTTCTTTGTGTCAGTTGCCTTTGGCAGTTGCATCGATTTTGAAGGATGAAGAGGTGTACAATGGGGTTGTTACTGGGGTTTATATGAACGGGATGGCGGTCGAGCTGGATTCGAAGGTCTGGCTTGTGCTTACTGAAAAGGGGATTCCTCCGCCCCATTCTGTTAGAGTTGGTGCTATCGTAAGTTTTTTGTCGTCCTTTCAAGTGGTTACATTAATGTAGTAATGAATGAATTCATTAAGTTGTAAAACTCTTCCCCTTTTCAGTGTTCATTTGGACATAATAACTCCAAAATAATAAATTGATACTTTTGTAAAAGAAAGTCATTTGTTTAACATACCTTTAGGGGCAAGCGGGAATAAAACATGCTCCCTCTGTTTCCCTCTCTGTCTCAGCTTAATATACTATCAGTAATGTGTTAAGTGCATGAAGAAGAACAACTAGTTGAGCTTGGTGCTTAACTAGGCATTTAGGTCCATAGTGTTGTGTTTTAATGTTTATCATTTCCCTGTATAAGGAGTGTTTTTTTAGAAGTTAGGTAGCCCAATGTAAGCCTAGTCAGATCTCTAGGATACGAATCCAGAAGAGTATTATTGAGGGTGTCCTTGTCGACACCAAAATTTTGAGATAAAGACTTTGTTGTTGTTGCGGCTCCAAGTTAACTATGTAATATTAGGGGATAAATACTCTATAAAGGTTTACCAACACGTTGCATAATTAATAAAGGAAATTGACTATCATTGGCAATGAGATGATCGGCATGTCTATTTTCATAAAGGAGAACGAAAAAGTGAGTAAAGGGAAAAAGAAGTGGAGAGAAAGAAATGTGAGAAGATGAAGTTAAAAATAGAAATGAAAAAACTAATTGGTTTTCTTTTTTTAGCTGCTCATTGGGAAGGTGTAGTGGAGGTGGTTCCCCAAGGGTGGCACATCAATGTTATCTGGTAGAATTTTTGAGGGTACTCATTGATACTAGATACAATAGTTTGGTTATAGATGGGAATGATTAAGATGTTGGTACAATGATTTTTGGGTGGGGATACATTTTTTTCTATTTGCCTTTGCTTTACAGTTTCATTCCCTCTAATCAATGTTCGAAGACAAGGTTCATGCAACTGCATTTCTGCGTTGGAGGCTGCATGAAGGTATACAAATGGCAACCACATGCAATAAGTATTATGAGCTCTTGTTACACGGTAAGTCACATATACTTTGACATAGTTTAGGCATCTGCACACCAATTACACAACGCAGTATGTTTTTTTGTTCTTTTGAGTTCAACCTATTATCCATTTAACTTACCTAACGGAACCATTAAATAAAACACTAGAGACCTCTCTCCCTCTTTTCACTCCTAAATTCCAATCTCTTTTCCATTCAGAAAGAGGACTCTCATAGAAGAAGCATTGATATATACACACACAGAGAGGGAGGGAGGGAGGGAGGGAGGGAAAATTTCAATCTCTTTTCCATTCAGAAAGAGGACTCTCATAGAAGAAGCGTTGATATATACACACACAGAGAGAGCAATGGTCTAAAGCAACGATTCCTATTTCTCTTCTTTTTTACTTATAGAGCAATGGTCTAGCAAATGTGGTACCATGTCTTTTTTACTTATAGAGCAATGGTCTAGCAAATGTGGTACCATGTGCAAATGTGGTACCATGTGTAGGTCTATTTTCTCGCTTTCCTTTTTTTGTAATTTTTTCTTATCTCTTTGTCGCTGTTGCTCAAGAAGACCTTGTTTATCTCTTGGGTCTTTGAACTAAGCAAGCAATTATAAAGCTACTACTCGTAATATAAACATTGAAATATAAGAAAGAGGAAAGTTAAGAAAGGACAAATTTCGTTTTGATTTGTTGGTGATATTCATTTGCGCACTATTGTTATATTAAAAATTTGATATCATTTATTAGTTATGGTTATTCCAATACAAATTAGTTGTATACTCATTACCAGATTCTACTAGATTTTCCTATATTTACAAACTTTATCATGTTGTTATATTTTGTCACTAGTACTCCGGTGCACGCGATGCATCTGTGACACTAAACTGCACGTGTAGAACTTGATATATAATTGTGTACGTATCTTTCTATGTGTATTTCTATTTTAATTTTCTTTATTCTCACATTAAGTACTACTACTTTGGCACTGAATCCACATGCCCAGTCCAAACTCCAAGTAATTAAAATTCATGAATGAGGAGTTGAGCAACATTCTCCAGCATCCAAATAATTTTTTCAAGTCTAATATTATAGTGGTTATTCATGGTGTATAACATTTCATCGATGAAATACACATATTTGTACTTAGTTTTAATCTCTCATATACTAACTCGGGTCATCTATGACCACCAAAAAGAACATTATTTTATTTAAACCACAGAAACTTCCAGGTTAATATATAAACTTGACATTTGAACAAATAATAACTTTAGAAGAGGTAGGGCTTGAGTTGAGCCTCAAATAGGTAATATTTGATGGGAATTAAAAAATGAAAGAATGAGTACTTACAGATAGTCTCAAATGCTTTGTCAATACTTCCAAGAAAGAGTCCTGCGAGCATAGTATTTAGTTTTTATTTTGGATTACAGTAAAATATTAAAGTAACTACAGAAACTAATTTAAGGGGAGAGGAAAACCTTTAGAACTTGGAAGCTGGAGATGGAAATGGATAATGGGGTTGTAGCGAAGCGCCATATGAGAGGGATAGAGGTAATTAATTTTTATTGCTGAGTTCATTCTATCCTTTTTGAGTTTTATGGAACAATCCACAGCACATTAAAATCAAAATTTGGAAGAGGATGTGAACATGGGGTAGTAGTGGGGGCAGTTGAGAAATTGAATCGCTTGTTAGGGTATCTTTTAAATTGTTTCCAAATTTACCCCTCATGAATGTTAAACCATAGTATCTTCAAAGGATATTTCTTGAATCCTTTAAATTCGTGACTCACACAGGGGTAAACCTAAAAGTTAGGACCAAAATGATGGCTTGCCTTAAATAATAGTAATATCGAATATCCAAAATTCCATCACACACACATTCATTTCTATGTAATTCGATTATGTGATGTATAACCTGATCATGCATTATGCATTGACCAAGCACATACATAACGAATTTGTGTATTAGAACATCGATTCTAATAATATTTGGAGTCTGTTCATTAAAAGTTTCTCAGTAATCCAATTCCTTATTACTTTATTCCTCTTTCATCTTCTCATTTTTTTCCTGCTTATTGCAATTTTTGCTGACTTAACTCTTGTTAGGTAAAAAGCATTAACAGGCTGAAACTATTATATTTCTTTCTCTAGTTTAACTCTTATTTGTTTGATGCCATCTTTCTTATTTACTTAAAATTTTCATGTAGATATCTGTTAAAAACTTTCATCATCTACATCTCAAGTTTTCTTGGATTGAGATGCATCTCCTTGGAACTTTTGCCAGGACCAGTATTGATGTCAAAAGCTTTTCAGTGGCTCATACAAGGTGACACTAATGCAACATGTACTTAAGATTTATTTAGTTGAGCAACATTACATAATATGTCATTTGTGATGCATTTTCATCTACAGATCTTATGTACGTGCAGAAGGTCAGAGAATGTTAGGGAGGTTTATTGAGTCTCTCACACCATGTACGAAATTTTGGTATGGACAATGTAACAAGGTTCACTAATTTTTGTAGAACTTCATAACAGCATGACATATTCGGGTCTTGATTAAGCAAATTTGTTTGCTTTCAGGATGTTACTTCTGATTTCTTGCTTCCGGAGAAAGTTTGCTAAAATGTTCTCCAACGAGGAAATATTGGGCTCGAAAAATGTAATTATGCTCTTGTGAAATTTCGCCTTTCAAGTTCATAAATTTGGTTGCCTTTATCAATCTATTGGGTGTAGATTTTATATAATATGTTTGTAGTGTCTAACATTAGTACTTGCAAGTTGTGGACAGCAAGAAGGGTTAGCCCAAGTATATGCTCGAAGGTATCTGGATTCCCACTTCTTTCAGTCTCAGGTGAATTGAAATTAGTTTTGTTTGAAGTTGATAAATTAATATTTCGTTGCGTATGTAATATGATGCTGCAGTATATCCATTGTTTAATTTGTAAATCGCCTGTTTTTTTGTCAATTTGGCAGTCTAAAATTAAGTTGTTAAGATACTCAGTTTGAGTTCATATGCTTGTTCTACAGATCTATGGATCTTGCGCGTTTAACATCTTGAAAGTGTTATCAATGCGCGAGGCGCAATGCGGGGCGCAAAACATCTTTACGCGCACATACGCAATGCGATGCGCGCGCCCGAGTGATGCGAGGCGCACACCTCCCACATAATTTTTCAAAATATACAATCAAGCGCGAAAGAACATGTTTTTAGAATTCACATGAAAAATATCATTATAAATAATATCTTACTACAAAATTACAATATAATGCCTTAATTTCTATTGCTAACACCCAACATAGTAGCAAAATTCATAAATTTTCAAATCAAATGTTACATCAAGACTAAATATTCAAGCAAAGGATTAGTAATGGTCCTCAATTGAAGGCTACTAAAAAGACCTAATGGATTTATTTTGCTTTTTGGGATATGGAATATCAAGTATAAAGACTCGATTGAAATGTTAACAAACAAAACTATATGAGGATATGTACTACATGCACCATACACAAAGTAAGGATGTACGTGAGGCGCAAAAGGTGCTGTTGCATCAGAAGTGGGGCGCTTCGTCACCGCCCCGCATCGTAAGGCACAGTGAGGCGCACGCCTTTGAAAACACTGCCTTGAAGTGCTCTTGTTAAACTTTTTTTCTCTCTCCTGTGATTGGGGAGCTTGTATTAGACTTGCTTTTCTTACTGCAGCTAGCCGTCATTTGCTTTAGAGTTGTTTCCAAGATGCATGCTAGTATTTATAATCTTTGCAATTGTTTCTTCTTGCTCTATTGATGCCTTAAACTTGCACTGACAGCATGGGATTTTCATGGAGTTCTTCGAGCATGGAGAGTACACTTGTGAGAAGGAATCCAGTATGTCATCCCTTAAGCTGGTAACTTTCTAGTTCTTACTACTGTTGTTGAGAACATGATCATGTGCTGCATTATTGTCGGTTGTTATCTTGATGTGTTCAGGTGACACCCATTTCTAATCTTATTAGCAAATGCGAAGCATTATGGGCATCTAAAATTTCAAAAGCACCGTGTAATGCTGAAACATTTCATAGAGATGACTGTGGTAATTGTTCTACCAGTAAAGTAGCTTCTTGCTGCTGTACAATCAGAAGAGTTATATCAAGTGAAGATCTAGGTTGTATTTTAATGGGCACTCTCAAGGTTAGTAATTTTATATATGTTATTTCTTACGTCCACTCATGGAATATGCTAAATTAGGGATGAAATCCATCGTTACCAGATTTACATACTCTAGAAATGAAACCACCATTAAGTTCAGTATTGCATATCTTAGTACAATTTTTAACTTTGCGGAAGAAATTGTTTGGTCCTAGATATTGTAAAATTTGGGTTATAGAATGAGTTAGACATGTGATTTTTATGTTATCAAGCTATTGCGGCTGTTTTTGTTTATAATAGTATCGGAATCCGTACACAAGTTATAAGTTACTTATTCTCTAATGCTCCACTTTACTCCATTTAAAATATATAGGAAAACAACGTATAAGCATGCCTTGACTACTGATATGCAGAAAGGCAAAAGAAACAAAGTTTTACAGCACAAATACTTAGCTCAGGTGGACCAAGGTAGACTTCATGATTTCCTCGGTTGCATGGGTACGGGTACGTGTATGAGTACCGGACACGACAAATTTGTAAAAGTTATGGTATATCGACACGACTATATATGTGCAAGTTACTATATTTGTGTGTATTTAAATTAATAATTTACAGAAGATCAATATTATTTTTTTCATTTACATAAGATCAGTATATAAGAAATAGATGTGTAAAATATACATCCAAGAAGTACATAAGGAGTATTTTAAATTACAAGATGTATATATAATTGACTATAGGCCCGAATAAACGTATGCATATATTCAAGAAGTGTCCAAGAGGTGCGGGTATGAGTACAGGTATGGGTTGGGGTACGACTTCCTAATAGAAGTACCCAGGTAACGTAGATGATTTCTGATTGTGGTTGAAAGCCACAAAATTCATTAGCTGTGAGAACTATTGGAAAAATGAATAATTTATGTTTATGTTTATGAGAGGACTAATTTATATATGTCTCTTGTTCGGATGATTTTTGGTGGTGACGACTGTCCAATCTATGGAAATATTGAAACAATATGAAATTTTTTCCTGTAAATATTTTTGAGAAGAAAGAAGAGGTAAGCAAATTAATGTGTGATATGTGAAATATGGGAGAAAGGTTACTAAAGTAGAAGACAACACTTTGAAACAATATACGGGGCTTAAAAAACATGGGTTGGAGCGTTTAGTTACTAATGACTTGTATAAATTCATGAGTCATTGCTAATAAAGAGCGCTGTCTTTCTAGGTACTTCAGTTTTATTCAATTAGAGGGTCTTAAAGAAGTCTTTCTAACCATTACATCAAAACTTCGAAGTTATGATCAGGGTCAATGATTATAGTTTTATATTAATTCCAACATGTTCCCATAGGTAGAATGCCCTTTTTTATGGGCTGAAAATTGGACTCACACAGCGATGTCAATTTTTCGAAAAATTCACTTAAAATTTGTGGTCGATGGGATTTGAACCTGGATTGCTCTGATACCATCTTAAATTTAGTCTTTCTAACCATTACACTAAAACAACGAAGTTACGGTGATAATTGAGGATTATAATTTTATATTAATTCTAAGATGCCTTCACAGGTTGAGTGCCCTTTTTTATGGACTAAAAACTAGTAATCATGCAGCGGTAATAATTTTTTCAAATCCACATTAAATTCGTGGCCAGCAAGATTCGAACTTGGGTTGCTCTGATACCATCTTAAATTTAGTCCCTCTAACCATTACATCAAAACTCTGAAGTTATGGTGATGATCGAGAATTATAGTTTTATATTAATTCTAACAGAGGGGAACTTAATATCAAACTATGTTTTATTAACGACAGTGGTGGATATCTTACCAAAGAAAATCAAGTAATATATCTTAGCAGTTCAAAGTTCATACATCTTATTTCACTGGTTGTTCAATCCAAGAAGACATGCAAACATCAACATTTTGCGCCTTCGCCTTTGATTATTTCTTGTAATAACACGGAGCAGTTGAAATGTACCCAGATTAGTGAAAAGATTTTGTGCTGTCTTGGTTTTAACTTGTTAAAGGTTAGTTTGTCTTCTTGTGCTTCACTTGAATGTCTGTATTTGTGCTCTTTGGGGGTATAATTACTGTTGCATTGTCTCTTGAGAAATTGATAACAGAAGACCACTTACAATCTTTCAATTTCCAGTATGTAATTGCACCTTATAGAAGTGCCTCCAGGGAGAAACATGTCAATATGGCTTGAACACAGAAATGGCTTCTCAACAAAAATTCCCATGCTAAATAGAGCAACTCTAATATCTGAAATTTATTATCTATTGGATTCATTCAGAATTTTCAACTCTATATGTTATATAATAATAACATACATGATGCCTATCTATCTTATTTCACGAAGCAATGAGCAATCTAGCTTCCATTACTGTGTACATTATCTGATTGCAACTTTTATACTTTGTTGTCCAATCAAATAACTTAAACCATATTTCTTAAGTCAAGAAGCAGAGTGGATACTAGGTGTAGAGTCTAAAAGGTGTAGTTTATATATCCAGGTTTCACCCCCAGGGAGCTTGCAGTTGGTTGATGCAACCGGAAGTATAGATGCTGTGATACCAGATCTTCTGTCAGATATCAGTTATCGGAACATTTATGAGGTCTTGTATTCTGGATCTTTTTATGTGGTTACACAATCTTTCGGCTTTTGTGTAAACTGTGCTGCGTAACTTTGCCATTTTGAATCATTTTGGCTTCTTATCTTTCTGTACTGCTGCTCGGAGAATTCCAAGGGGCTCTGAGATAGATATCTGCAAGGCATAATGCAACACTCCTCTTAGTATGAGCAAGAGGATTCATGATAGACTGAACGAGTTAGTTGATTGCTTGGTAGAGCTACCTTGTAGGTCACATTTTTAATTTGCAACTATGAGGCACCAGGCAATTTGGATCCTAGAAGTGGCCCCTATGGGTTTTAGAGGCGTCTCCCACCGCACTTATGTGACGTAGCACTTATTACTGCATAACACTTAGTGCTACGCTCCATACTAGTAAAATGCTCTGATACCTTTCGTCATGCCTGGGCTCGCGAGCCTGTTGCCGTGATGTAAGCTCTGGGTCCCACTAAGTGCATCATGTTGTTTGACTCCATGCACTGCTAAAAATGACTAGCCAATGTTACACTTTGACTTCCATGACTTCACTATTTAAACTCATCTAAGTTTCCACGTCTATCCATTGTGAAACTATTTGAGATGGTATCACATGTGCTCTTAAAGTGCACTACTGCATGCTGTTTATTACGGGAATACATTGGTCACTTACTGTATGCAGAGTGTACTATGAATTTGTTTTTGTAAATTCACATATCATGTATACTGAATAATTAGTCTTCTACTTTTTGAAAGTGCATGTTTGTTGCCACTTATTCAAATCTCTCATACTTTTTTGGCTAGATCCTGGATAATAGTGATAAGCTTGTTGTGCTGTTTTTCAGAGTGTCTGCTAGTTTACTTTATCCATGTAAATGCTATCTTCCAGGTTAAAAATTATAAACTTATTATGGAGGGCTCACCTGTGCAATCGGATTGTATGGGGTTGCAATCTGTCGAAGCATTCTCATGCAAGAATATCTTTGACCAGCTTCCTTTGAAGAAAGTATTAGATCACCTTACAGTTTATGTTGTCTTTTATCTTAGAGACTCATATTGTCTCAATGTTCCTTTCCAAATTCCTACTTTCAATATGGGGAATGATGTCATCAGTATTACTGGCGGAACAACTCAGTTGTTGCTTGTAACTCACAAATTTCCTGCCATTAAGAATGTAAGTTCTGGAGCAGTTTAAGCTTACTTCATGAATTTTTTTTCATCTTCTTTCCTTTCATTCAATATGTAGTGAATATTATTCCATAGTTTCAGATTGATCCAATTGAAGGCCATCCACTATATTCCAACAATATTTTGTTTGCGGAAGCCATTGTCTTGCCTTATAAGCTAATTCTGCAAAATGACAGTGATTGTAGCATACCTGCTAATGCATTGCGTGTCAAGCTACTTGAAGAATACATAGCAGAATCATGGCTGATGACTCAATTAATGGTTCTGAAGAAGTTAAGAAGAGGCTGAAAATTCCATGCTTGTTGACCTTCAGAAGCTCTGATGGTCAATTGTGTTCGGTACCTGGATATTTATGCCATACTGGAAACACTCCAACAGGAAATATAATCGATAGACAACGAGAACAAAGGATCTTGTTGGAATTTAAAGCAGATAGCCTCTTTAAGTATCAGGTATATATTTTTCTCTCTTTTAAGTCAACTAAAGCTGTTAATCCATTATGAATTATATAATTTCATTTACCTTGTCAACCCTTAAAAAAAAAAGGCTCTGAACGCTGAATATGGAAATTTGTGGTCTCAACAATGCATCAGTTTCTTCAACTAGGTGGATACTATATTCTGAAATGTTCAACTAAGAGAGAGCGTGATACATCAATTAATAGCAAGACAAACAATGGTAAAATCTACATAACTCAGCAAATGACCTTCTGGAGTCTTTCATTTTCTTTTGGTGAACATATGGGTCCATTACAAGATCAATCCTCTCGGTCTTCTTTATTTGAAGCATCTGAAGCTTATGAAGGAGATGTATCCCCAGGCAACATTCTCCTTCAGCAATCATTCAGCCAAATGCATAAGAATTCAGATGTCCATGTTCACTTCTTTTCTGAAGAGAAAGATATGTTCAGGATTATTCCTGAACCTGTAGAAGTGTTAAGTGTGTCATCTTGCCTTCACATTTTGAAAGCCAAGATAGGAAGAACTTCTAGTGTTGCTGATCCCCAATGCAGAGATATGCCTCAAGGGAATCTAATTTCTCTATGTGGTAACGTAGAGATCATACAAATATGCAACTACAAATCCAGACCTTATATGAGTTCTAATCAGTTAGATTGCATGGATATTGATCAAAGGATGTGTTGCGATATTGTTATCCATCTGTGCAATGATCATCACAAGGTAATTTCCTTTTGGTTATCTTATCCTTGTTATATATGGATGCAGTTTTAACTCTCGATGTTGTCAGGTACTAATTCATGGCAACTTCAGAAAGCATATGTATCCTGTTGGTTTGGGACCCGGAGCAAATGCAACTTTTCATCGTGTCCTTGTGACGTGGTATGCTTTTGTGTTATGTAGTTTATCTGAATTATTAACTGTCTAAGTACTAGATTTACCTTCACAGTTTGTGTTTTTAGCTTCTCCTCAACATTTTTGTAAGTATATTTGGGTTTTTAACCAGTTTTTGCTAATAGAATTTGTTCTGATAACGTTTCTGTTTTTGCAACCACAATATCTGGTATAGGCCATAGCTAGTTACTTTTGATCATTTTATGATTGTTATATCTTATCCATTCTACTTCCCTGAGATAAAAGGCTGTGTCTATTGATTATTTAGTTAAATTGTGTTACCGGATGGATATAATGGCACAGGCAATGAGCAATGTGCAAATTATATCTGCATTTTCTTCTAACTTCTTGATCTTTCAAATATGAATTGTTTACCTTTCAGGCAATAACATTTTTAGAGATGGTGACATTACATATATGCAATAGATATTAGGCGCTAAACCTCTTATTTGTAAGTTATCATTGAGATCTGCTTTTTAACATCTATGATTGTATACTTTTTGTAATCTTTGGGAAGTGGTCTACCATTCCAGAGAGCAACACTTGTACTGTACCCTGTTTCATTAGTGAGGAACTATCATAAAAATGCTCTCAGACAATGTAAAACATGATCATCTATCTCATTCGAAAACATCAGAGTGAAGAAATTAGTAGGAAGCCTGAGTCTAGGGTCCTCCATCTCTACTCTTCCCTGAAAACAGGAGCATTCAGACCCATCATCATAATAAAAGCATCATACGTTTAAAATCTTACACAAGGACAAATTTCTTAAGGGAATTGAGCTCCTAGTATGCTGAAAGAGTCACCAATTTGCCACACCCCAGGTTTAAGTGGGGAGTACACTCCATCTGGTGGTCATAAGGCCATAATGTCTCCCCTCCCAGCTTGATGGCTGGCCCATGATGCTGATGCGCACCTGAACTTTGAGTGAAGCAAGCCCTAACAGTGTGACTGATCAAAGAGAAATTATGTCAAGTTAGCATGTGATTTTGCTGCCCTTAAGGCCTGAAGTATTCAGCATTCCTGTCAAGCCAGATGGCATATCAAGAAGATGCAGCATGATCACCAAAATTCCTGCCCTACAGTATCCAGTTCATTGACTTGTTTTACCATTTATTTATAGAGCTTCCATTGTCTCAGCCTCTCAGGACGTAACATTGCGAAAAGCCTCCAAGAGGATTCCCCAAATCTCTTTACCACTTGATCATTGGTCTTCTAAATTATAACCTCAAATCATCATTCGTTATCAATTCTCTACCGTTCTAACCTAAGTTTTATTTTAAATAATATCACCATTCAACAGTAACCTCAAGAAGGCTTTGATGTTAAATGATACTTCACTACCTTATCTATCATAAATAAAGCATGTAGTATCTTCTTTTCCTTTCCAGAACTATTTGCATGAGCCCACACATTTGAACAGGCTAGGTAAAGTGGAAGAGTTGGGATTGAAGGATGACAGATAGATGATTTCAGAAGAAGCATGCCAAGCAGACTTCACCTATGTTTTATAAATTAATGTATTGTTTACCACGCATTTATTAGCTACTATTATTTAATAGATTATATATATGTATATGCTTACTTGTTGTCCAAAGTACAATAAACCATATAACAACCTTAAGGTGCCGTAAAGTTTGGAAGAAGAAATCTCGTCCCATTAAATCAAATCAAAACGTGCTCAAGCTTTTGCATGTCCGCTTAACTACCACAAATTTTTTTCTGTATCCACTTAATTTGACTATTATGGATTTCCTAGCCTGTGCTTCTGGTTACTCCCTATTATTAGAACTGACGCAAAGAAGATTTTATAAGTTGACAGTACATCTTCCATGCTCTGTAAGATCTTAGCCAGATCTATACTATATATTAAGAGAAGCCTCCATTTCAGTTTGTGTGAGCCACATTTTTTGGAATTTCAAATTTGTCGTCACAGTTGGAAAAAAAGAAAAGAAAATGTACACACACTTGAAAAAACAATAGAAATGCCCTCACGCTAGGAAAAAAATTGAAATACCCTCATACTTGAAAATATCCCCCCTCACCCAACCACCCCCCACAAAAAAATAAAAAATAAAAATAAAAATAAAAACCATTTATTCTCTTGTCAATTTGACTACGACACTCCTCCAGAGGTCCTGTGTCGTGCACGCATAGTGTGCACCGGATACCATGTATCCTATTAGTCCAAGTAATGTAGATGTATAGGGAGTCTAAGTTTACTTGTTCCAGTTTCTGTCAGAGTAACCAGTTTGTTGGATGTATTGATCAAAAGATTTTTCTTCTAATATATGACATTCTCACTAGGACGCTTTGTTAGTTTATATGCATTCTTGTAATTATATTAAAAGCATAATAGGATTGCGTTCTGTTTATGGCATGAATTACACAGTTCTTATCTCTAACTTCGTTATGTACTTTCCAGTCCATCAAGTGGATGCCCCACATTGGTATTAACGCCGGTGTCCTTTGTTGTAATCAACTTCATTAAAGAAGTTGCTCATCAACATAGCAAGGAAAGAACTACACCTCAAATAGAAGCCAGTTTCGCAGTCGAAGAGTCATCCAGCATAGTTTTAGGTTTGATGTCTCAATTGACTTGGTGCCTCGAAAATAAGCTAATTCGGTGTAATTGCAGGGTAAGGTGATGCCTTACCTGTGTTGTTTAGCCATATCCATTACCTTTATCAGCAATAACTGAAATTTGTCATTTATCATAATTTTTCGTGATGTCCCCTCCATCTGTTTTGTGCTTTGCAGGTTTTAACTGTCTATGCTTTGGTACTGGAACGATCTATTCATGTCCCATCGAAGTCTCAATCAAACAATCAGTTAAAATTACCTGCTCTTAATGTCGCACTTTCTGGGTTTGTGATGGGTAAGCTTGTACATAATGATAAATTACTTCAGAACTGAAATTAGCTGGGCTACAGTATACACTGTTTATATTGATACAAAGTTATTACGAACAGAAATAGGCACACATGATGTTTACTGTTTATAGAGCCAGTTTGCTTTTCCCACCTTATATAGCACAGGTTAGTAGGTTACCTATCATGTTTATTTGACATTGCATTTCTTGTTAGCTTTAAATTTTTTTTAGGTTCTGGATCTCTGGCGGATGCACTGAGCTCTTATCAAAGTCCTACATGAGCCTTCTTCCATATTCTGAAGTCAACTTAGTAATATTGTTCCAAGAATTTGGAGCTTGCCTTATCACATCACAAAAGCCTGGAAAAATTAGTACAACTTGGTCTTATCTGTATTTAAACGTACTTTCTGAAAACTAAGGGAGAGGGAGAGAGAATACAAGAGGGCGAAGTTGCACAGTTATGGGTACGGACATGGGTACGGGTACGGGACACGGTAAATTTGCATAAGGTAGGTTATGGGGACACAGCTATATATATGTATGTTATGTATATTTATATGTACTAAAATTAATAATGTACATAAGATCAAAACTGTTTTTTCATTTACATAAGATCATTATATAAGAAATAGATGTGAAGTGTAGAATATATGTCCAAGAAGCGTATGAGAATTGTTTTAAATTAAAACATGTATTTTATAATTAAGTATACGCCCAAATAAATGCATGCATATATTCAAGAAGTGTCCAAGAATTTTTAGTACGGGTATGGGTACATGCACGTGTTGGGTACGGGTGCGGCTTCCGATTTGGAGTACCCAGGTAACATAGCAAGAGGGTGTGTTGACATTCGACAAGAGTTTTGAAACTCATGGCAGCTGTGGATTTAATCCTAAGAATTAAAAATAGTTAAATGAACAGTAAGGGAGTAGATGGATTACAATTTGGAAGCCACATTTTCCTGGTATTCCACGCTTACCTTCCCTTATATGCTGCTGCCTCAACTCTCTTGGAGGACTCCTCTGGACAATGATAGGTCTAGGGAATTAGGGACTCTGTTTTGTTAATGAGGAATAGGGCCGATGTCTGGTTTAATATTTCCCATTCAACCAGATAACTGCCTAGATGAATAACTTCGAATATTCAAAATCAGTTGTGGACTCAGGAATCTAATCCTTTCTCAGAGCAGCTCCATCATGGTTTGGTTTGGTCATTAGGCATTTTAGATATTGTTGATGTTTGCAAGTTTACTATAAACATACATGTCATACACGTATGCCTCTTGCATATTGTACTATATCTTTTGAATAGTTAATTTCATGTAATATGGGATGCATTTGTCTAGGCTTTTGTTGTTCACAATGACTTCAAACTAATCGAAGTAGCAACCATCTAAAGTTTCATATGTTATCAAGTAAATTCTGATACATCATTATGTGCCAACAAAGCATGTGCCACATTGAGTAGACAGTTCGCTGAGGAGATTTCAGATGATTTTTGCTACATATTGTTTTACATGTAGAGTTACACAGTTTGTAGGTTAACTGACCATCTTTGTGATAAAATCTTCTTATTACTATTCTTGAGCACCACTACCAGAAATAAATGAATTCCAATAGAGAAAATTTGAAACTTTACAATATCATTACTCAATAAAGTGGATTAATTGTTCTTTTTAAAACCTCGCTGTTATATAACAGCTTTGTTTTTAGGCATTATCCTTGGGTTCCATTTTTTATGTACATTAGTCAGGGTTTCGGGGCACTAAATTGTGAATTCTTAATGTAACAAGAAAAGTAAAATAAAAATAAAAAAGACAATTGTAGTGGGAATTTATTAACTTTGTTGTTGGCAGTTGGAATGCTTTTAATTTTGTCATCCATTGTTTTATCTTGTGCAGATGACGGGTCATCCTTATCTTGTTGGTGGGCAAATTCTCTTGCAACTATGAGATTGCTTAGGTTCCATGAAACTGCTCATAGGCCTTTACTCCATTATTCCAAAACTTCAATGCAATGTAAGGCTAGGAATTCTCAAGATACTGTTGGCCATCGTTTGGAAAAGATGCTAAAGAAGTACCACCGAATTATTGTAAAAAGTGACAGGGTTTCTCATTATTCATCTACTCCTAGTTTTACTTTTCATGTTGATTCAGGTGTCCTTAGCTGCCCAGATGAGAGGAAACTCTGGCTCGTCATGCTTGATGCATGTGCTAGCCCGGCTTCTGTGAGTACCATGCCTTTTGCAGCTTCCTTCAGAACCAAGTAGCTATGCATGGAGAGTCAAACATCATGTTATAGTTGAATACAGTCTCCATGGCACCAAATGTCATCCTTTATGTCATAATACGAAAATAGAAACAGCTATTGATCTGGAGCATCATATTAAATAATTGTTACTAGTATAATAATGCTCACTTATTGGCTTACTAAGATGGTAGATAGTAGTTGGTTGTTGAAGAATTTGAAATGACTTTTGTTTGGCCCTTTTTCTCATAGTTGATAAATTTTCACTCATCATCTTATTTTTGCTGTTCCTTTTCCTTGGCAGAACATTATAGGCCGAGTGATGGATCCTAACTCTTTGCAGTTGTTGGATACTGAACTTAAGGAGTTGAATATGACAACGCCATCAATGCCAAATGTGCGGATTACAGAAGTTGGGTGTTTAAATCCTTTGCATGAGGCGAGGAACCTACTTCATGAACTAACAAGTTAGCTTGGTTCCCATTTTAATCTGGTTTTTTTTCTTTGTTTGGGCTGTGGATTCGGGAATCAAATGGCAAGTGCCATTTTCTGGTCTTCTTTACTTTCGGAGCAACAGACAGATCTTCGGCTTGATCTGCATGAAGTAGCTTTTGTTTCTTTTGTGCTGCTTCATTGAAGTCTGTTGAAAGCTGCTGATCTTGGTGAGAAGGAAACCATATTAGATCTGTAAGATCAGTCCAGCAGATACTACCATAAGACTGAGACATATAAGAAGCCATTGAGATAGATGACTATTTTGTCCCTAAAGATCAAAGGGTCTTTTTGCAATAAGGTTCAGGTACCATACATCAACTTCTGTACATCTCGCAATTTTTCTGTCTTTAAGCGCAAAAGTAGGTTGTATTTTCTCCTTTATTCTCATAATAATGATATAGTTGTTGATGTCATCAGCTGCTAAATTTACAAAATCTGTGAGCTATGTTTTATTACTGTAATAGACCTTGGAAAACGAAGTTCTTATGTTTCTTTTCTAATTACTTGGGCTGAATAGATTTCATTGAGTATGTTGCATATTCGACTTGCTTAGTCATCTACTAGTTTGGTAGCTGCGGATACCATGATGCTTTCTTTTAGATAATTTGTTTTTTATAGGCAATGTTTAGATAGATCTATAAAATAAGTAAAATTGTTCTGGTTTTGCTTAAGTCTTAATCTTCAGTTTTCATGTGCCCTTATGTGTATCTATTAACTATTGACTCTTTGTCTGATGATAATTTACTTATCTTTTACCGTTCCAGGTGCAAATAGCGTTTCCTGGTGGAATTGTTAAAGAAAAGAAAATGACTCTTTGAATGTGTATCACGGCAGGTTCGCTCTTCTTGTTTACTATTAAAATTTTCCTATTGCAGGTGTCAGCTTTTATCTTTTGTAAGTGACTAGTTATTTCCATCATATATATCAAAGCTAAAACCAGTTAGGGGCTTATTTGGTATTTTTGCCAAATTTTATCCACATATGATATCAGAATCTAATTAAATTAATTACAAGAAAACTTCCTGTCCATGCCAAGATCTCACTTGCATGATGAACCTATATTTATTCTGCAATTGGTATACTAACGTCGTTATCTACATGTGAAACTATTTTCATGATGTTTGCTGTGAAATGCCAATTTTTTCCTTCACTTTTTCACATTATTACTTATAGGCTAAAATACCTGATTAGCCTATAAAGTGACATCATTTTCCATTAAGGCATAAGAACTGACGTTGGCGACAAGACCTAAAAATTGACAGACTTAATCAATAAGGCCTACTCTAGCCACCCAAATTTTGATTTGAATGGTAAAATTAAGGTTTTTTTTGCATATATGCTCGTCAAATCTCCCACATTTGCAGATTTATTCGTCAAATTCAAGTATTTGCCAAAAAAAAAAAAACCATCTCTCTCCTCACTTACATTATCCATCTTCTCATCCTCTCTCCTCACTCCCCTTATTCTCCTCCTCTCCTCTCCTCCCTTCTCTACTTCCTCCTCAGCTTTTGGTAAATGATTGAGGGGAGAGAGGAAGGGAGAGGAGGGGAGGAGAGTGAAATGAGAGAGAGAGGTTGAGAAGAGAGGTAAGGTTGGAGGGGGGAGGGGGTGGGGGTGGGGTT